GTGCCAAAGACAATTCTGTGTTGAATTTTTTTTCTCTTACATAAACAGCTTTACCAATAAAACACACACATACCAAGACTAATACCCTATCGCTGGGTCCATCAGCATCCCCAGCATCTAAAACGTTCTTGGCATCAGGGTATGGATTGCTTTCTTCACCCAAGGGGTTTGGCTTTTAACAGGCTGATTAAGAAAAAAAGACATTTTGAAAATACAAATGTGGGTTCTCACTGTTTTGCAGGGGATAGAGAACTTGCAGCATGTACCAAACTGTCCCAGCTAACTAGCCAAATCGAGCAGGTAGGACCGAACTACCCATCCTATCAGCAACAAGAGCCAGTTAAAGACGGCAAAGCCAATACAACCAGATTATAGCGTCAAAATCAAGCTAAGTGCTTTGTTATTACTAACTTGAGTTTAATTCTGCATTCAGAAACGTCACAATTTTTCCCTTTAGGATCCCTATCACAAAGGCAACAGTACAGCATGATCTCAGTACGCCAATGTTTCGCCAGTTGGGTGCTTCCCTGTTGCGAGGAATGCATCTCATGTTTTATATCTAGTTTGTTCCAGACACCACTGCACCCCTCAGTAATAGTCTTCCCAGGACAGAATCCCCAGGCAATTCAGATTCCCCAATTTGACCTCAGAGGTAATCGTGAATTACAGTGACTAAAGACTGCAACTCAACTTTGTCAAGCTTTCTACCTCCTCTCAATTCCCTAACTCCAGCCAGGTTATGTGATAGGAATCTACGTAATTCCTCTCTTTACATGAGAGGAAGAGAAAAATGCAGAATAAGGTACATGTTTTTGCATTGCTTATTCAAGTACTGATGACACTTGCAATTAAATCAAGTATTTTAAACAAGTCATACTACATAAACATCTCACAACAACAGTTTTAGGGAAACTTAATAAGGTTGTGCAGATCAGTGCTATCTGTCACAATAAGGCAGATATTTGTCATCTCACCTTCTATTACCTATCCTCATAAATGAACACAGAAATAGAGGTGCAGACTAATTGCTATGATCTATTTTGTACTTATTTCTTTTCTATAATAAAGGATGATATCCTCTATATTTCATTAATTAAGCTTCTTTCCTTTTTCTTTATTAAAACAGTTTTACTATAATAAACCAGCAGAAAGAGCTGCATTGAATTCACCATTCTCACTTTAAAAGTGAGAGGAAAATAAGCCCCTAAGGTCTCACCCGAAGAAAACAGCAGAAATTCTGTCCAGATGATCAAACTGAGGTGTTTGGAAGGCAAGTCAAACAAAGTGAGGGGAGGATGGAGGAATTTTCACTTTTTCCTTTCCATAACTCCATTCAGCTACCATCCAGGACCTCCACTCCTTGCTCAGCTTAACAGCCCACCTCCTTCCTTCTAGTGTATTTCATAAAAAACATACGATGCATCTTTGTGAAGGAGACATAACAAATTAGAAACCACAGGTGTGTCCCAGGTATGTGATGAGAACTCTCGACAGCTCTTCCTTCTACAGAGAGAAAAAGCACAGGAGAACCGCACATCCACTGCAGGCTCTTGGCACGTTCCACACAGGACACCAAGCATTAAGCTAGTACGGCATTTTCATTTGGTCTTCTCCTCACACAATACGAGTGTGTGCAACTCAGGACATGCATGTACTAAACATCAGTCCAAAATGAACTGGTTTTTTTTGCTTTTCTTTCAAATACCAACCCATCCAGCCTCACACAAGATGCAGGTGGGCAGTAAGTCTGGCAAGACCCATTTTAGTAACTGCATCTCAGTTTACGGCTTAAATGCCTGCCCACTCCCATATATCTTATATCTTAAGAATTTATCACAATAGTGTAAATAAAACAATGAGGAAGTAAAGATGCAAAGAATGCATTACTAATGCTAACAAGCACAAGCCAAAGAAGGCTTTCTAAATGCAAAGAATGGTTTAAAATAGAAAAAAGAAGCGATAAAGCACTAGTAAGATATTTCTCTGTTCCAAAGCACTACAAGATTTTTCACCACTGCCAATAAACTAGTGCACTAAACCCCTGCGATCATTGTTCTTTTAGCAGGTGGAGACTATAAATAGAGACAGAGAAGCAGCCTTTGAAGAGCAGTTATCCTCCCCCTCGAGGCATCCTCTGTTGCTTTAACTCTCACTAGTGCCCCACGCAGTAGCACTGCACCATCATACTTCAGGAGACACGAGGCAACTATGCCTCGAGACCTACCTCCCAGACAACAAGCAGGTTGTCACTCAGCTCTTGAAGAAGCTCCTGAAGATAACGATGCAACTCAGCCCACTCAGAGGGCCTAGCTCAAGTCACCTCCTGAGCCCCAGGTCCTTGGGAACTACTTAGGTTTTGCAGAACATCAGCACTAAGGTTATATTCCAAAAATAAGAGCTATAGTACTTATTATTTATTAGTAGCAGCATGCTACTACTTCATTTACTAATGAATCACTGTTACTGGTAAAAATGCTCTACTGGGACCAGAAACTACAGAAAAACACTAGAGAAAACAAGAGTGAAAGCATCAGTTCATTAAAGAGTTAGAATACTAAGAGTATTCAGTTAAGTGATGTGCAGCCCCCTTGTGTCAGGCAACCAGCTAAACTGACTGAAGGGAAAGTCCCTTCCCCAGCTTGTGCTGAAAATGCACATGGTAAGTCACATAAAAACAACAGCCAATGGTACAGGCCAAGGTCTCGCAGGTCACTTGGTCTGTCATATTAAAAAGATCCCCCACAATCTACTTTGTATTACATAATTTTTAGTTGAATACAGAAAGTAAACTCTGTGTAAGCCCAGTAACAGATATAAAATAAGACCTATATTGGTGAAATACTACTCTGAAGAGAGACGTGGGGACCCAGGAACTAAACCCATTTTCATTCAGTGCTAAGTCTGACCCATGCACGCATTTGAACAATTCATTCTCACCTCAAAACTTAGGTTTTCTTATTTCTGCAATAATATTGGCAGCTAGCCCCATCCTCACAACTCTGCGTTTATGTATAGAAACTGCCTTAAAAATGACGAGTGCATTTATTGGAACCAATTTAAATGTATGAAATAAACTGAAGGTACAGACAGAATATCATACTTCTGGCATTTTTAATGTTTCAACGGCACTTAAATAATATTCCATGATATCTCACACAAGAATCTTAAGTAATTTTCAAGAGGGCATAAAGCAATTAATATTTGCAGGCAATTTAAGGCAAGTTAATACCCAACTTCCATTGAAAACACTAAGCCTGCATGCCTAATTGCTCCAGGGGCCTTTGAAAATCTCAGCAAAAATGAACAATAAGCAGTAAATCAACCCTTTCAAAATGAAAACAATCCCCTCCCTTCCACTACCACAAGGTGCTCCACAAAAACGTATTTCACTTACATAAACACGTATTACATCATAACGGGTCAGAGACAGAGCTATGCAAGAGTAATTAACAGCATTAGTATTTTTGAGAAGTACTAAAATCTTTTATTATATACTGTAATATGAATGGGGAAAGAAGGATCATTACCGTATTTCCCAGCTATATGCCCATATCATTAGCATTTGTCAGACAAAGCGGGTAGCGCTCCTCAGGTTTTCCATTTCTCTATCCTGCAGATAAAAACCCAAGGCAACGAGAGTGCTCCTCAGACACTCTGACAATGCCCTGCTGCTGTTCTAAAAGTCTAACTTGGCAGCCAAAATCAGATTTGCTGGCACCAGCAGAAAAGAATCTGTTATCTTTGTAAAATTAAATAATCCCATGCACAAAAAATATTTAGGAAACAAGCTTCTAAGAGAGATTGATTTTTCAGTACTCCATGTCTTGATAGCTCCTTGACAATACAGAATTAGACTCAAGATTATCTCATGCACAGTAAACAGTATTAATTACTGTATTTTTGGTACTTGTTGACATGGACCTCATTTGATATCATAAAAAAGAAATAAAAATACTTCATCATCTCCGTAACTACTCCTTCAATACAGCCTTTCTTCCATGCTTTTCATTTTCCAGCCTAAAAACTGCTTTCTTGAGGGCAGGGAAAAACTTGGATTCAAATTAATAAAGTAAATAAAGGAATACAACCCCAAATTTCCCTGTTCAATAATGAATATCAGTAACGAAGGTTACTCAACACCATTTCCTTCCAGGACATGGCTGCCATAGGGAAAGACACTCCTCAGAGAAAAGGGAGATTCAGGAATCAACAGAGGTTTTCTCCATAACAAAAAAGCAAAGAACTAGAGAAACAGAAACCTTTCACCAAGCTGAGTCTACTGTAATACACGATGTGGTTGCTTAAGCCAAATGAGAAAAGCAACCTACTTGATTTTTGAAAGTGCTCAGATGAACCATAAAACAACATTATTCTGTGACAGCTTTTCTCGTTGAAATTAGGTTAGTCTAACAAGTCCTGAATGAAAGCCACATCTACCAATCCAAGAAAATCAGGTTTCATGTTTAAAATCATGCTGCTGTTTCCTTTTTTCCCTCATTATGGAAACATAACCAATTTTCTATGCAGGAATTCTAAAGATAAAGGGTTTGACGTGATTTGATGAAAGCAGGTCTACATTTCTGAAGTGGCATGAAAAATTTTAAGGGGAGGGGGAGGGAAAAAACCATTAGAGACTAATTCAAAGATTTAAAATTAAGTTAATGCAATAATTCCCATCTATTTCCCCTCAAAGTAAATCTTAGGTTTAGTCTTATATTTTCTTTTCAAAGACAGCGCAAATGTGAAAATAATAGAGGAATTAGGCACTGGCTTGAATTATATAAGATCAAAGTTAAAGGTATAGATAGACACACATTACACTGTTATTAAAAGGCTAATGTAACTGTAATTCAAAAACAATAAGAAAATATTTACCTTCTTTACATGACCAGTTCTAACTTCTGTTTGTAGATCAACAATATACTTTCACGCGTAAAGTCACAGTCAGGCATACACATCTGTTCACATCAGAGTTCTGCCAGAAAAATGTATTAACTTACCTTGTCTTGATTTTCCTTATTTTTGTAACACAAATTTCCAATCAAACGAATGAGATGAGATTTAAAATCCACAGCTGGATGTGAAATTTCTTCCTGCCCTGTCATAGCATGTGTGGCAGTGAAAATATTTACAGCCTGTCTCCCAGCGAGATGAGTCAATCTCAGGGAATCTACAGAAACAAGAACATTTTAATTAATTACCACATGAAAATTAGTATCACTTTGCACAGAGCTTTACTACCAATTGTTAGGTTCAAGGTCAATCAACATAATTTCAGATAGTCAGTATTGTATCAAAAGAATTGTCAAAGTTTTCCTAATTTGCGCTATAAAACCATAAAAGGCCATCCCAAGGTCAGAAGGCATTTTTGCGTCCTTTTCACACACACTTACATAGTTCTGACACAAGGTCTGAAGGCTGATGCTATTGGTCCCTACTTGAAGAGTCAGAATTTGTAGGCTGTTGATGATTCTGGCACTGTAAATGTATTGCTAACAAAATTTTTTTTTAGAAAACTTCCTTTAGTTCAAACTTATCACAAAAACACATACTAATCACGGATATTTTTTCTTCAAGTCTGTTTGTAGCTCCACTATAAGAAAAGATTTTGAGGACTTCTAGCACCTTGACACATCTTGACAAATCTTTCTCTGCTGTAATATTGTCAACTAAGAAATACTAATGATCCTGTATGGTAAAATGTTAGTTTACAGCAAGCAGAATTTTTTCTATACTGCTCCAGAGAGAAATCAGGGAGAAGGGAAACAAAAATCTGTGAAAACAACATTCCACAAAGGGACCACACCCAGAAGAAAAGTTGCAATCGTGAACACCTGAGAGCTCATACAGTTGAGAATCCAATTCACTTAAAGATGTGCCTATATTTAAAATTAAGGAGTATTTCTCCTCTAAGCAACCTGCAATATTAATACATGCCATCCGCCCCGAGAGGCTTCATGCAATTTACATTTTAACAATAAAGACACAGCAAAACCAGGTTATAGCACAGGGCAGTAACTACGACCTATGCTCCTTCTGCTCTAGATGTGACAGCATCCATTGTGGGATGGGCACTAGATTTCCCGGTTTGAAACTCATTGCAATTGAAAGAAACTTCATAGGTCAAAATATTTCTGTGCTGATAATAATTTAACTACATTTTTGGCATTTTTTTTAATATGAAACTACAATAGGGACTGGAAGACTTCCAATACGACAGCTACCACTTTTATTTGTTTGTATTTCGATCTAGGGGAAAAGCACTCAATATCCTGATTGCTCCTAAAAAATGTCATCATAAACCAGCTTTTAATACAATCTTCTTTCATGTAAATTTTTTTCTTTTGTAAATTCATAGAAAACAGCAGTATCTCACATCCTTCTCATGGCATTCAAATCTGAGTGCCTCGCTGCCTTATAATGTTGGTATTTTCCCAGACACAAATGCCTGAGAGGAAATTCTGCCTGCCCTTAACAGGGACCCCTGAATGAAAGGATTAAAAACAAAAACTAAAACAAAAAAAAAACACCAAAAAAAGTAAATAAAACTCTTCAAATTTTATTACAGTGTGGACAAAAATGCAAGGAGCAGTGCTGGCTCCCTGGAAGGAGAAATAAAAGAAAAAGTGGAAGAAAAACAGTCACCTTCCATGCAGAGAGAACAGTGCTCCTCTCTAACACTGCACATCACAACAGCTCCCAGAACGTCACCCATTCTCTCAACTGGAGTCTGCCATTCTCTCATTGCCTCAGTCTGTCCTTCTCCCATTATCCCAACGAGCAATTCTTCCAAAATGCCCCTCGATCCAAAGGACAATTTACCTTCCTGATGATATTCCCTAAATGTTGTGCAATCAAGCTATTAATGGTGCTAAAGACATTTTAAACACTGCAGTATCACTGTCTAATTTAATCCAACAATTACTGAAAATAGCAAAGCACATTCCGCTGATATTTAGAAGATCATTCAAATATTTTTCAGATTTTTCATTCAATCTCTTAGTACTTTCCTCACGGAAATTTCTCGTGACATAAACTGAAGAGAAGAACTACTTCACTGAAAGCTCTATCAGATTAAAATCTTTTGTGCTACCTATCCTTAATTTTCCTGGTCTTCAGAACTAAACACTGAAGGTGATATAACACATCATCAACACAGTTTTTCGCCCTTTTCGCTAATCCAGGATTAAAGGGGTCTTGTAGCCAAAAGGCAGTCTTAACGAGAAAATCTAAGAGTGGATAAATTAAATGAGGGCATGTGGGAAACAGGTAGGATGCACGCGGTAGCAATGTTCTAGGCCCGCACCCGTTTCATTAGTCTGGAAACAGCTGCAGAGAAAAGTCAGTCTGAGCACAGCAGGAGAAAGGAGGATTAGCCTGCTGCCTTCTAAACTTAATTGATCTGCAGCTCCTTGAATTCACGTTTAAACTGAAAGACTCAGACAAGCATTGAGGTGAGACAATGCACAACCCAGTTTCTTCAAAACACAGACACACACCAGATCTTGTTGTTAGCCAACTCAGTGTAAGCAATAAAACTACAAACTTGCCGTAAAAAATAGAGGTTTAGTTGGTTGGTTGGTTGTTTTGTGGGGGATTTTTTTGTTTGGTTGGTTTTTTTTTTACAACAAGGACCCTCTGCACATCTCAAAATAGTCGTAGTTAATAGCCAGCTTTTTCAGTCTTTTTTTTAGCCAAAAAGGAAAAAGCCCCTTTAAAATCCATCAACTTTACAATTTTCTCAGAAAATGGTGGCCTAGGGTCTCAGAAAGTCACTATACATGTACTTCCCCCTCCCTCTCTCTTTGGACTATCACGGATTAATTTTCTTTGCGTACCGTCTCTCACTTGTTGTTTCTTAGCAGAAGAAAGCTTCTTTCAAACTGACCTTTGAAAGTCACTGAATTTGGTTAAGAATATTGGGATTATATGAAGTTTCAGTTTTCAGGAATTTGGAGAACAGGCATGGAAAAGTCCGTTTTCTACTTATTGAGGAAATTCTTCCACGCACATTCAGCCAATGAAGGAATATAGGAAGCAGCTGTCCTTTGCACAACTCTTACTGAATAAATAGCACATTGCTGACAGTTGAATTAAGGCTCTGTTGGGTAATAGGAGCCAACAGAGCAAGTAGAGAAGCAGAAAAATTCCAGAAACAAATCAAATATTTGAAAATGTAGATTAATTCAATCTCCCATTTATTTATTTTATTAAAAGGTCAGGATCATGATTACCACCAGTTGTGAAAAACACACTTTCATTCACAGAGCAACACGATTTGGACCAAGCCAACAGTTAATAAACCTTGTGGCTTTTCAACTCACCTATGGCGGTTTCAAGCAAACCAGGCAAAGCCTGTAGGTGTTCTAGCTGTCCGTTTTTTGATGTAAGTTCACAAAGAACATCAAGAAGACGAATTGTAACCAGGGCTTCCTGAAAATGAAAATTGTATTTCTGAAAATGATTCATGCAGGAAAACATAAGAACATAAAATTGACAATCTAAACAGAGGACAGGAACTCTCTGCACCTCAGGTTCTTTGCAGGTCTTCTAAACTGCCAGGAATAAATTTGTATAAAACGAGGACAACTTTCTACAATAACAATAACATATTTTACTATAATAATCTCTTTTCTACAGTCAACTAGTGTTATATGTGCCCTGAAAAATCATGGGGAAACCAAAACAGAGCCATAAAGGATAAAATTTTAACAAAAACACAGTAGCTTCCAAAAGCAGAAATGCAGAAAATTACTAGCTGAGAAAATTATTTCTGTATAAATGTTTTCTTTGAGTTTATTCAGTAGGAGCGTCCCACTTTGAAGACACAAACACTGCCTGCAAGACACCAATTTGTTATCCGCAGGAATTCTGTAAAGTTCTGTGGTCAAATGAACTTTGGCTGCTAGAATTTACATTATTCTTGGGTAAATAGAATTGGACTCATAGATGCAGCCTTTTGGTTAGGTATGAGACACACAATTTTATTTGCATATTATTTATTCAGACAGAGAACTATTTTTTCTTACAGACTACACTGATGGGTGCTTATAATGACAATCCAACACTTACTGAAACTACCTGAAGAGCGTATGGCATAATTTGGAACACCACATATTGCTCAAGAAATGGGCTGTGAATGCAAGATGTTTCCACACAAGGTGTGGTATGTAAACTGCAAGTAGCCTTGAGAAGGCTCAGACATAGGTCACAGTAACTATTCTTGCCTTGTCTGTTCCAGAACGAAGAAACGTTTACTTCCCAACAAGTGTAGTATTTGTGAATCCATATAATCAAATAACATATTTGAAACAATCAACAATAGCGTCTAGTAATTAAGAAGTACAATTATATTCATTCTTTGCTCCTTCCTGTGCTCCTTGAAAACAACACATTGGTACAGGGTCCAAGTCCTAAAGCTGTATTTTCTTTTTTTTTTTTCCTCACACAGATATATGAAGGTACAGGTCTTGCTCCAAGTTATTCAATGAACTGCTTTCAACTGCATCAAAATAGCCTCTGAATACATTGGGTATTGTCCTGTTACAAAGTAAGAATACACCAGCTGTATTCCAGAGACAGGGTCCAGAATACAAGTCTTTGGAGGAGTGGCTGAGGGAACTGGGGTTGTTCAGCCTGGAGAAAAGGAGGCTCAGGGAAGATGTTACTGCTCTCTACAACTACCTGAAAAGAGGCTGTAGAGAGGTGGCGATTAGTCTTTTCAAGCAAGTAACAAACGACAGCACAAGAGGAAATGGCCTCAAGTTGTGCCAAGGGAAGTTTAAATTGGATATTAGGAAGAATTTCTTTACTGAAAGGATTATTGGGCATTGGAATGGGTTGCCCAGGGCAGTGGTGGAGTCCCTGTGAGTCATATAGACAAAGTGCTTAGGGATATGGTCTAGCTGAGGACTTGTCAGTGTTAGGCTAATGACTGGACTCATGATCTTAAAGGTCTTTTTCAATCTATACAATTATGTGATTCTGTATTTACAATGTCTAAGCCATTTTGTATTGTTACAAGACAGTAGCTTAATCAAACACCTCTTCAACTCATGCATTTACCACTTACTTTTGCACAAGAAGGGGTTACACACCTTACAGCCATAAAGCAAAGTATCAATAAGCAACTATAAACAACAGCAGTAAGGTGTAACAGCCCTTGTTGCCTGTGTGTACCCTATTACTCAAACACACAGCGTAAGCTCTGTAGCAGCAGATACTATGTGGGGCTTTTCCTTTCCCAATGTTATTTATTTTTTAATGCCTTCCTTCACTGTCTCCCATATATTTCTTCCCAGGATTATAAACTATCACCTCTCCCTTTCTCTTATGCTACCATTTGGCTCAGTTCAGTAACTGCTCCACCTAGATTTGAGAAAAGGAACATATAAGGACCACTAAAAAGAACCAGTAAGTTCTTATCTACATTTGAGAACCGAATTTGAGAACAAAAGCTGTTTATACACCTCTGGTTGTGTTCCCATCTCCTGCCCCAACCTTTTATTTCTTTTTCACCCTTCACTCATATGAAAGGAAGGCAATAAAACGGAACGCTACTTTAGGTTCAGTAACAAGATGCTATTCAAACACTAGTATTTTGAAATCTGACAGCTATCTTGATGTACATATAGTCTGAAAAGTAAATAAGGAGACAATGGAAGAGTTTTTAAATAAAAATATTTTGAGAGAGACTCAGAAAAGATGTTCCTTTTAAAGAGATGAAACAAGAACTTAAAATCTTGGGAAGGGTTTTATTTTGCAAGTATGGTTGAAAGCTAGTGAAAGCAAACTGAAGCTGAAGTAAGGCTTATAATGGAAAAGCTATTTTAAACACTGGTTTAAGCACTGCAGAAGCATATGATTAGTTTTTCATTGGTTTGAGATGGAAGCTACAAGACCTGTGGCTCCCTGCGGAAAAAAAGCCAGTATCTACATATTAGACAGTGGATGGGACATGCAGACAACTTTTTGGGAGTGACTCCAGTTCAAGGACTATTCCCAAAAGGCAGCCTTACAGTTGTGGAGTCTAGGACAACTTACTAGTACAGACACATTCTGGCCAAGGCACTTGACTTCAGGGCCACAGAAAGTCCAGGCAAAGTTTAGTTTAATAATCACAGATGTTGCCTAAAGCATTTCTAATGACAGACTCTACATGCACAATTGCATTTTCTTCAGTTAAATACAACTATTACAAAAAAGCTAAAATATTTATACAAGTGAGGAGAAATTGGTCCAAATTTTGATAATTTCAGGTAAGAAAAGGAACACTTTATGAATTTAAGATGAAATTTCTTTTTTCCCACGGCAAGCATATCTTATGAATAGATGTCTATACACAATATAAATATACACACATTAAAAAGACTATTCTTGACATTGCTCTCCATTTATTCAGCTATTACGACTTCTATTTTGTGCTTATTGAATGAACCATGTTTCCCACTGAACAGCTGAGCGATACTCAACTTGTTATACATCATGTTTATCAGAGAGAAGGATAAAAAGTCAGTGTCAAGCAGGGCAAGTTATACAGTAACATTCTCAATAGTGCTGTCCCAGCACCTTCAAGTTGGACAGAGACCTCTTTCCGCTAGGCACAAACAAATGTTTTTTTCCAAGAATTGAAACCACAGAATGCTTGGAAAGTAACCACATAGGATTTAAAAAAAAAAAAAAAAAAAAAAAAAAAGGGGTGGGGTGGGGGAGGGGAGAAGAGAAAAACAGAAAACAGCATGGCAGAGAGAGATGGGGGAAGGAAGATAGAATTGCCTCAGTACAAGTAAGTCGTCTTATGGCCAAGGTGATTACTTTTCCAGAAGTAGTCAATTAAATTTTCTAACATAACTTAGATAAAGCAGTTGAGGGCAGGGGGCAAGAATCTGTGCTTCTTGGACAGATAAGAAGAGATTGCTGTGTGGCTGGGTTTTGGGGTTTTTTTTTTTAATGCATCCAACTACCAAACCTTCATAAATTGTTTTTTGTTGTATTTTTATAACACTTCTCAACCTACATTGAAAACTTCTGTGCCTATTTAAACAAACAAACAAAATTGGCAAGTAAAACACTATGTAATATTACAATATTAAATATAATATGAAAGCACTTTGATAATATATTAGTTATGATAGCTGTTCTCAAGAGTTTCTACAAACAAAACTATTACAGGTCAATTTTGTTTTAACAACAAAATGCTTCCAACTACATGTATATTGAGGTAACACAATTTCAACATACCACTGTGGTGGTCACTTGGCAAGTAACAAACTAGATGTGACTCTTTTAAAATATCTTATTAAGACAATATGTTAATTACACTTCTGCAACTAAGCATGATCAATTAGTGAGAATCTGGTACTAACCAACTCCGTGTTTGACTAAAACATATTAGATTTCTCAGGCTTTGAATCTTCTGGCTATTTGTCTTTAAGAACAAAACCAAAAGAACTCACCCCTAAATCAGCTGAAAACATTAAAACTTTATCTATACGAGCAAGATGAAGAATTGAGACCAATATGACCTGGCACTGCCTGCTCACAATACAGTGACCTAACCCAGCACAAATAAGGTCACTGCAAGTTATGGTGCAAGTTGCTGCTTCCTGTATTCCCAAAGGCACTGTTAGATCTTCAAGTAGAGTGTTGAAAGAAAGAGGAAAAACAGAACACCAGATTATTTGAAAAGACCTCTACCCTTAGATGGCTTAAACCTCCTAACTGCACTATATGGTGTGGCAAGTAGCCAGCAACTCTTGGATATTTCATAAGGAGGAGATACAATAAGGCCATCCAGGACTCAGCTCTGCATCAGAGGTGCCCAAAATGCAATCCACAAACCATCTGTGACCCATAAAAGCCTTCCTATTTAGCTTGCAAATGGACTTTATTGTGACCATCCTCAATTAGAACCAGTTCATTAAGTCTGAAGCAATGACAGATTTCTTCCAAGCGGACTGGAGTCGAAACAATTGTCTCGGGACTCGGGAGAAAGGACCCATCTGCCACAAAGAGCCCAGCAAGCTCTGCAACTTCATGTTGTGGACACTAGCTGGTCCTAGGGCTACTGCCCTGCCAGAGCCACACAAGGTGCACTGCAGAGCCCCAAATTACGAGCAAATGGGGAAAAGTCAGAAACAAAAGCCCTCGCTTATAGGGAGGATCACTATGCATTTCAGCCAGCTCCCCTGCACTGAGCCAGTCACACACACCCAACACAGTTCTCCATTATTAGAACTTGATGTTCCAGGTCCCAAACAGATCAGGAACATCTGCCTTACAAGTAGCCAAATACATTTTTGAAGAACTATCATTTGAGACGCTAATGATGTATTAATTATCAAGTTACCATCAGTTATTTAAGTTGGTGGGTTTTTAACCAAAAAATCCCAACAAGCCACCAAAAAACTCCAACCAAGATTTACTTACTTTAGCATTGCTAGAAGAAAAAAACTCAAACAACTATGCCATTTTTACCCCATTTTTAAGGAAAAAAAAAAGAGATTCTGCTTTCAATCTATAAATAAAATAAATATTTTAAGTTTTGATTTGTAATTTAATCACAGAACGGCTTAGGTTGGAAGGTATCTTAGAAATCATCTAATCCAACCCCTTTGCCACAGGCAGGGATGTCTCTCAACTAGATTAGGTTGCTCAAGGCCTTATCCAACCTGGCCTTGAATTCCTCCAGGGAGGGGGCATCCACAACTTCTCCAGGCAATTTATTTCAGAGTCAGGCAGCCTTGTACTGTAGAATTTCTTCCTAAGATCCAGTATAAACCTTTTCTCCTTCAATTTAAAACCACAGAATGTTAGGTGTTGGAAGGGACCTTTAGAGATCACCTACTTCAACCCCCCTGCCAGAGCAGGATCCCCTAGGGCAGCCACACAGGAACGCGTCCAGGCGGGTTTTGGAAGTATCTGGAGAAGGAGAACCTCTCTGGGCAGCCTGTGCCAGTGCTTCATCACCCTCACAGCAAAGAAGTTTCTCCTCATGCTGAGGTGGAACTTCCTATGTTCTAACTTATTTCTTGTTCTGTTGCTGGGCACCACTGAAAAGAGATTGTCCTCTTCCTCTTGATATACACCCCTCAGATATTTTTAACAGTCCCTCTCCAGCCGTTCTGTAGTTTTCCTTCAGGTATTGGAAGGCAAAATATAATTCAGAAGCCAAATAAATTACGGAACTGATCAACAGAAAGAACATAATAAAACATCCAAACATGTGACAACTAGAATATTTTTAAATGGAGATCTTTAACAATGTGGTAGATTTATTTCTATCTCAAAGTACCCTATCTTTTGTCATTCACAAATTAAAAGCAAAACTGTGCTGCTTTCGTATAGATTCTGCTGCGAACTCTGTCACTGCTTTCCCAAAATAAATAAAACTGGGAATGTATGCAAGCGCCACACAGGTAATTGTGGCAATGGAGATTCACCACTTCAGACTCTAGTACTGTAATGGTTTTTATCAGCCATACCTCATCTTCTCCATCTTCTGCAGAAGTTAACTTGAGCACAGCTTCACATTTCTCTTGGAAACAGCCTGCAAGGAAGTCAGCATGTCTCTGGAACACATTCATCTCTTCACTGGTAACTGCGTGGTTCTCACTTACTTCTGCCATCATGAGCTCTAATAAAGTAACTCTACAATCAGAAAACAACTTGTTAATCAAAATCACTAGCAACATAGAATTATCAAATTAGCAGTAGAATAAGCAGATACAGCTCTTAAAAATGATACAAACAATTATTATGCTTGTTACAGAGATGATTTTTAAAAATCAAAAAGTCTTACGAATGCTGGCATCAGTTCCTGTTCACTGGTTTATTTCTGCACACCATTAATTCGCCATTCAATTAATACAATCTGGCCAGACAGTCAAGTCAATATTTTTCTCAAGTCTATTTCAATTTCTAATTTCTTACGTCCTAACATAACATTACTGTATATTCTGTATGTCTAAGATTTCCACCGAAACAGCTCTTAAAAGCTGTTGTTAAGTTCAGCAAAACAAACACAGACTATTTGACAGCTTCCCATTGAAAATAACAGCCTTTCACAGCGCTTGCCTTGCACGCAGTCCTTCGCTAATTCCCCTCCTCAACCACAAACCAATTCTGAGCAGAAACAGGGGAAATAAAAATTGATACGCACACTCAGTTCTTTACAGCTCTTTTATAATTGCCACTAGATGGACTGTAGTAAATCCAAGTTAATTACTCATATATCCAGTAAGTGTGACTTGGTGTATTAAACCAGTAAGTAAGTGGATACATAACAAAGCTGCTCTATAAAATGTACTTGGGTCATTTATTTTAGCAGCTTTAATGTAGTTTTATTTCCGATACCCTTTCAGGTTATTAGGGCAATCTGGGAGTATTTTGTAGAATCAGGACTTGAACGTGGCAGCTTCCCTGTTCAACTTCAGCACAGAGGAGCACGTGGGTTAGTAAAGTCCCGCTGTAATTCTCTCAATTTGAAAAAGCGCTCTTTATTGAATGAATTCAAGAGCAGGCTCAGGGTTTTCTTTCACTGAAATATTTGCAATTCAGATGGAAGGACAAACATTTAAACATGTGGAATAATTCAAGCACTGCTTCTTTTTTTTAAAAAAATAAATTACCAAGCAGGTTGTCACAAGGGGAAGAGAAATGTCTTTTTCTATGGAAAAGTACGGTCACTGCTTTATTAACCTCCAAGAACCCACCCCTATTAATCACATAACAGCTACTCAGTTCTCACTAAACTCAACCCTCAATGTCCTTAATACAGCTGCATTAAGCGATTATCTGAATAGGGACAAAAAGCTTTTTGAACGCAGTAGCACAGAAACGTGCTCAACATTATTTGGGAAAGGGTGGACTCCAGATAGAAGGCTGTCAAACATGAGTAACCTCTCTCACAGGCTTCGTTTACAAACATAAGACAGCACGGGCACAGACCAGTTGTTCTCTTTGTCCTGCACGTTACAACTTGGGCATCACACACTTGCTCATCAACAAACTAATGGGATCCAGTTACCCAACGTTTGGCATAAGACCCCAAAAAAGCAAGTTAAATGCACGGATACCCAATACACAGCTAGATTTTGCACGCCAGTTTTTACCAGCTTTAGAGCCTTCCAAGGGTATGCTCAGCTAAGAAACCAGGCAGCTCATAGATTTTATGATTACAGGAATTATCCCATTAAAATATTCTCTCTTATATAACAGAACTCTCGTCAGCTATTTTAACACCAATAATCCAAATAATACATGTCTAAAAATGACAACAAATCCTTCTGTAAAGAAGCTGGAGAATCACCACACGGTTCCATAATCTGTATTAGTGAGATGAAATTGTTGTCAATAGGGAAATTTCTTGCATTATTCTTCCTCTTGCAACATTAACTAGGTGCCCTTTCATATAACCACAATCCTCACAGAGCAACAGGAGTGGCATTAAAACACCACCTGCATGTAACTTCTTTTTAAGTTTTCTGTTTTCTTTAGGCATTCACATTGAAATTGTTTTCCTGTGTTTTCTTCCAGGCCCAGTCACTCAGAATATGTCCATCTTTCCCCTGAATTTCAAGCAAGTCTTGCCATTCAGCCAAAAATTTCCTGAGAGCAACACTTTTCGTTCTGGTGCAAGTTCCCTCGCATTCCTTTCTTCTATTGTTTCTCTCAGTTTTCTTCCAAGACTCACCCGAATTTTCCCAAGTTAATTCTCCCACTCAATGCAATTTGCTCATTTCTTTAAAACTACTGTTTAGATGACAGAATTTCTTCCTCCTTGTTTGCCTATATAGCTAAATACAGATAGGATGACTGTTAGTACCAGCATGTCTCATCATAAAGTTTTAGAACACGCACTTCAATACCCAAAATATATTTATAATTATATTTCTGTTTGGTAGTGATCATGCCATAAATGGCATCTTCCTCTTCTTTAGGCACCACTTAGTAACATGTTTTGTCAATTTCTTACCTTTTTTCCCCCTAGCCAAATTTAAACTAGGTCTTTCTGAATCTGACCAAATTGACAAAAGCTTTGAACAATTACTATAAAGTAATTGCAATCATCAGTAAAACACATTGCTGTCTCCTACACTCTGCAAAAACACTACGGCATTAAAGCGCAATTTAAATCTGAAAGCTTTTACAAAATAAAGTGAAGCCTTGCTAAGTCTATCTAAAAACAGTATTGTAAAATTCTATTAATTTTATTATGACCAAACAATTTTTGTATTAAGCGTGCCTTGTTTATAACTTCTTAGCAACTCCCAGATGCGTGGGGCATTCCCTCTCAGTGACTGGGATTTTTCCTTCCTGGAACACTTCACTGAGAGCAATGGTTCTATGAGACCTTTCTTAAAACTTCCATTCTTTCACCTCCGAACAAGACTTCTAAGCATCCTACTCCATGAAAACTGGTAATTTTGTCAACGACTGTAATCTAAGATTACTTACAGCTTTTCTGTGTCTGTAGACATTACCAAGAACAAAAATCCACCACAACACTGCCATTAACAGCCCTGTAGCTGAACATAAGCAAGAAGTGGTGCCACTTATACCACTTGAGCGCCCATTTCCTGGCTGGATCAATGGCTACATCACTCACTGAGACCACCACACGTAAAATAACACAAAAATCAGAAGTAAGGCACAAGTAATTGAGCAAGCAACAAGATAGATGCAATGTTTTCTGAGATTTTACAACATAATCAACACTGTCAAGGCATTAACTTATGTTGTCTACGCTCAAGGCTAACTTGGATTAAAGCAAAGTAGAGTTTTTTAAAATACTTTTGCCAAATAACTGCACACACGTGTAGAGAAATCTCAAATCTAGCAAAGAATTCAAGAACATACAATCTTTTGTGCAATACTGTCTCCATATGTTTCTGCAATAATCACTTGCACAGGAACAGCAGGCATTGTCACATCATCACGCCCTTTTCAAAGCCAGACTACCATTAAAAAACCCCATCATATTATCACAGTATTTATTTCAGGCCACTTGCAAACTCAGACATGTAACACCAAAGTGCTTAAATTTGTTTGGAAATGGAACAGAAAGTTGTCCAGAAGTGAGGGATTTTATTTTAATTGAAAATCCAGATTCCAGATCCACTTCTACAACAAGAACTACTTCATAGCATGCACCATGGCCACTGCATTACAAATGCACTAGATTTCAATTACAGGAAATAGTTTGAATAGTGCAAATACTGCGAATAGCGCAAATAACTGCGGTTATGCAACTGCGTATACTTTGGTTATCTAAGGCAACTGCCAACTTTAAGAGTTCCCACTAACTCACGTATTCGCAAACTTCCTCAGCATAGCTAATTTCGTTTCAGTAAATACATTTAAAGTAACCGTATTTAGTGCGCATCATAGAGAATACTGTGACCGAGGGTTACCATATATTCATGAGCTCAAGCTGCTTTCCCCAGACACCTCAATACCACATCTGTCCTTTCTTCATTTATATGACTCAGTCAGCCTTACTGGACACCCAACGCGGCAACTCTTGCGGTGAAGGCTCCTCGTCTCATTTTGAAACAACGAATTCCCTATGCTTTTTGGTTTATATTGTTATTTTTTTCTCCAGTTAATGAGAGTCAAGATGTTTTTATCTGAATTGGATTTGTCTCCTCATATATCTCAAAAGAATGCTTTCTTAAATATGCTAACGTTAACAGGAAGATGCCATTGCAGGGCTTTCTTTTATAGCTCAGATGCAAAAGGACTATTTCTACACGACTTCCATATGCTTGACAGTAAATTAAGCAGTATCAAATTCATAACAAATTGTACTGTGATTATGACTTAGAAAAAACTTAATTGAGCTTACTTGATTTGCAGAACTCCTGGGATTGATAATAGATTCTGTGGATATGCCGTGACTAGCCATCTTGCATGTGATCACCCATATAAGGTCTATACAAAAAGCTTTTCATTCGAGGTCACTGATCACTGTCTGAAGTACAGCGTGTGCAACAAATCCAGCTGAATCTTTTCTAGAAACTGATTACATCTATTGCTTTAAATACAACATCCTAATCCAGTCCTGCCTGTCCTGAAGGGGATTACACAAACATACAAACAAACTGCCATTCATGACAGCCCCAAAAGAATTAAATCTAACTCACTCACTTAAACAGTCTTTCCCGCTAACTGGTTAAGGAGCCCCTACCTCCAAGCACAGTAAGCACAGAACTCGTACTCATTCCTGTTCAGTCCACCTGAATAGAGGAGGAAGACAGTATTTCCCATTCCCATCCCTTGTTTTCCACCCCATACCTATTAATGGTATTATCTGTCATTCTCAAACTATCATATACTCTTTGTCTGCCATCACTTGTTTCTTTATAATCTCTGATCAGCATCTGTACCCCTATTTGTAATAACACTGTGGCTTTAGTGACAGCAAAAAAAAACAGGTAAAAAAAACACTATTAAGGGACTCCTTTGTCTTTGACCTGCAAAAAACTATGAGGGACCTTGCAGTTTCCCTAGGCAAAGGGGGAACAAAATAGCCATGCTGAATACACAGACAAGATGACAACATCTTCAAGCAGTTGGAGGAGCTAAAGTATTATAGTACAGGGTTTCCCAAAGATTATTCTAACAGATATTTTTTCTCTTCCTCAATTCTGCATTAAAGCAATTGTAAATAAGCATTTTTCACATTATAGCAATGGCTGTTTCCCACCAATTCAGCACACATTTATTCAAAGGCCTGAAAGAAAACTAGCTAATTTCTTTCAAGGTGAAGGTTTGTCAAAGCATTTTATATTCTCGGTAATGGAAAAATTAAAAGATTAAGTACACACAGGCATTTGCACATCTACTTTTTTTAGGTTCTACTAACCAGTATTAGACAAACTTCCAACTTTAGTAAAGGTTTCCTTTTAATTTCTTGTAATTAAAACAGGAGTATGAACAGTTGAGGACGCTTCAAATACAGTTGTAAAACATGGCAGGGTGTGGTGCTCTTATGAAATCAAGACACAGACATGAAATCTTGTCTTTTTTTAATTTGTTCTTCTTTTTTTTAGTATTTCTTTACCAAGTAATGGCGCCAATCTGGATTCTGCAACCCTACATAAATCACTGCCAGTTGTGGCTAAGCTGTAATGTTAACCAACCAATTTAAAACCATTACTGACATAGAAACATGTATTTAGAGATTCTGTGCCAACTATGAAACCACACAGTTTTTCAATCATGTGAACAGGATACTCTATATGGAATGCTAAATACTAAAAGCCACATTGGTTTTTGGGGTTACCTTTCTTGATTGCTCAGTTTGGCATAGAGGGCTTTCACCAACTCTGGACATTTCAGCAAATGGTCTGTAACAATCAAGAACCTACAGAAAAAAAGAAAAAGTGTTACCAGTACTAAAAAACCAGCATCTGCATATACCCCAAATGGTGCTCGTTACTTTAACTTGTAGATGACTGCGTGACATACTTCTGGTCCTATCTGCTAATAGATACAAATTGTCACAAAATAATTCTGCATTGTTCTGCAGTATTTCTCCTAATACACCAATGGCCATTTCCCATCAGTTCAGCACACTTTTACTTAAATGCCTGAAGGAAAGCTGGTTGGAGTCTTTTCCAAGTTACACAAAGCGCAGACCATTATTCAAATAACAAAACACTCTTCTAATTGTTTATACATCTCTGCAAAAAGCCAAAGTTCGTACTTTTTAAAATAATAAAAATATTCTAACAAAGCATCAAAGCAACGGAAACTCCTTCATCAGATGCAAGGCAGCAAAATACTGTTCTCAACTTCCAAAAATTACTCTCCTTATGTAACAGGAACCTGAAGTGATAACCAAATTAACTCGTTGCTCAACAAGGCAGGTAGTTATGGTCAGTCGACCCTTGTGTTAATGTCAATATTTACACCAATCACTTTTCCAAGCACCATTCACAGCAGTCAATAGCAGACACTAGTCATTTAATTTCAACCCAGACGTGTACTCTCAGCATTATGGGAAAAAATAAAGGACGTAAAAACATTTTTCTCCTCAAGCTGCATTCCTACGAGTACTGACATTGTTACATATGCTGCATAGGTATAAACATACTAAATTATATATTTTTTTAAGCAGTGTGTCTACCTATTAAATATAAAATAATTAGAGGTCAAATTTCAGCGCTGTTGAAGCTACTGAGAAAGAATAGCTAAAATATTAAAATCAAGCTATTTCAATATTCCTTCCACCTCCTCCTTACTTTTCACTCTGCTGACAGCCTTTTGTTTTGTGTATCCATAATCCATTACAGAGCTAACAGGAAGATCACATGGCTTCCAGCCACAAGAAAGTATTTTTTGGACAGATACTCAATGACAATTGGGGAAATAGGAGAATAAGAGGTCCAAAAGATTAATACGTATTATATTTCTGACAGTAACTGTGGACTTAGCCAGTATCTGATTCAGTTACTGTAAACTAGACATTTTTAAGAAGGGGGAGGGAGAAGAAAAGTTATTTTGTGCTGTGCTTTTTTTTCTTACTGATATTTGTACATACATTCAAGGAAAAAAAATAGTAGGCGGGTAGGGAAGCATCAACTTAAAATTGGCATTCTGAGCAGTGCAGCACTGATCCAAGAGTCCCCCAATGCAAACTTGAGCCTACGGACTTTCCCAAAGTCAATAGCACATACGTATTCCAACTGAGCAGCGCAGACTCAGTCACAACAACCGAATCAAGCCATGAGCAGGGCAGTCAAGGAGAACACTTCTACACCTCCTGAACAAACAATTCACAGCATATAAGCCATCGGCAGTTAAACCTGCAAAGTGGTAACAACTGACTTTACTTTTCAAGGATTTGAGTGGAAGCAAAGGTTTTTATCTGGAGCTGCGAAAGAAAAGCAGCATAATAACTGGAGTTATGCAGGACACAGTACTTGGGCTCAGAACGTACAAATTTCATCTGACCATGAAGTACGGTAAAAGTGCATTTAAGGAGACAATCCAAAGCCTGAGTTTTCAATTTCGCAGTTGGGACTACGAACTGAAACCTTCATTTTTATTATTAACATTATTTTGAGGAAAACTTCTTGTATTTACCTTCTAGTTAAAAAGCCATCAATAACTATCACAGAAAGACCTAACGCTACTAAGTGCCCATCAGTGACTACTACTGCAAAGTTGAAGACCTGTATTTTAGCCATTACTTAGATCTACACTCCTGTACACATTCATATACGTCTCTCATGTTCTCTGGACTAGACCTCTGCTGCTTTCATTTTAAAGTATTTCAGAATAAAGTTTACGCTTATAAAGGGGCACAGACTTCTGTAGATGCTTCCTACTCTTTTAATTTCATGACATGACATATGACCTGATATTTCTGCTTCCGTATTTGAGTTTCTCTTTTACCTTATCTACTTCCTGCATTACTGTATCATAAAGACTAGAGCACAAGCACATTTTGCAAGAGCAGCACCAAGACGCATCAGACGAACCAGCAGTGGAGTAAACCACTTGCAACTCTTGCTAACATGCCCAGAAGTTTCAGTGGTAGTTAAGCAAGGAAGCAGCAAATTAAATCTAACATCTTTAGTCCTCAGCTCTCCTGGTTTTCATTTGGGGTAGTGGAGAAGAGGAGGAAAAGTAAGACCATCCACAACTTTGAAATAAGAAAAGACATTCAGTTTTGGGTTACTGACTAAATATGGCATTTTGTATGCACACGAACGGCTTTGGTAAGAGATTTAAACTCTCTTTGGCGGCCAACAGCAGAACCACTGGGATAAACTGAGGACCACTATAATTTAGTGAAGGAAATGGTGAAAATTAAAGTTGTTATGCAAGCGTAACACAGTAACAAACGAATAGTGTTAAATATGGCAATTTTCTTGACTTTTGAAAAATTGTTTGGCTAAAATCCTGAAAAAAATCAAGTGCTTATATAGTAGATAAATCCATGAGGAGATGTTCAGTCCAAAGAATTACAATAGCACAAGGGCTGCATTGTACCAAATTGTGTTTGAGAAGCAGCCAAGATGAAATGGTATAAGATACATTTGCGCTCAGTATATTCCAAATGACCACTAAGCTTGCTCCAATCAAGGCCGGGTGTAAGCAATCAACTTTATCATCAAATGTCATGCTCCACATTAAGTTGATTTGATCCCATTAGCAAGTTTAGAGAACAGTGTCCTCGGTCTCAGAAAACGAGGAAGAAAAGCCCCACAAGTGTTTTAGAAGAAAGAAGAAAAAGACATGGTAATTCTTTATTTGATCAGCAAACTTCTAATCTCAAAATCAAAAGCATCATCCTACAATAATGCCACTCTATCCAAATTATTTAGTAAGAAGAAAATAGCTGTAGTTTAAAAACCAAATATAACGAATCACTCAAATTTTGAAGAAAAAAAAGAAAATTTAGACAGCTAGTCTTTCAAAGCCGTATCACCAGTGTTTTTAGATGCTAAAAAAGCAATATGCCTCATGAGGAATTGCTTAGGACTAGGAGATATTCTAGAAGCAGAAGTATCTTTTTATCCTGGCACAAGAATATAAGCACCCTATCAAAACTATTTAAAAAGTAACTACAGGTATGTATTTATTCAGTAATGAGTGGAACACACGTGCTGTCGCAAGGACCTCTCGAAGCTCAGTAATTTATCCCACTCAGAAATGAGCACTGCTCCCTCAAGAGAATAAGTGAACATATTCCCATATTTAAGGCTCAACCTCAAGTATCAATCACGATACTCCTCTCCTGAGCCGAACCAAGCGCAGCAGTGAATATCCTTCCAAAAGGCTCAACTCATAATGAATGCATCCTCTTTGCAGGCCATGATACTGTCCACAGAGTCAACTTTGAGCCCTAGAAGACTAAGTTCAGATTATCTGCAATATTTCTGTGATTCAGAAGACACTCCCATTCAATTCAATACTACATCTGAAAGGCACTAAAAAGAGATTTCTTTTTACTTACACGCAAAGATGGAAACATTTTTTTTCTAAAGAGCTACCAAGAAAAAAGTGGAAGAAGATTAGCAACACAATCACTTCCTGTTCCCCCCTCTCCACAAGAAGAAAGGGGTGACAAGATAAATAAATGTGTGAGGCTGGGCTTTGAAAGCTTGAGGAAATATGTGCCAATACATTGCTACTGCAAATAGAAAGTAGAAGCTACTCAGATCTCCACAATTAAGGAAACGTTTCCAATCATCAGTACTATTTAAAACCACAGTTGAACTTGGAACCTGCAACACAACTCCAACTTTCCTGGAACTAAAAATAAGAATTACTTTCTGGAGAGCAGAAGAGAAGGGGGCTGGGGACACCCTAAACTTGAGAGACAGAGCCCAAAATGGAAAGAAGAAAAAAAGTAAAAAACGTAAAAATAAGTCAAAAAACAGTAAAAAAAAAAGTAACATTTTTCTGGTTACTTCACCACATGCACACCAAGTAGGCAACAAGCTTTGTACTGAGGAGTTCCATCTTTGCCTTTAAATCCGTGCCCGTGGCTGAGACTCTTTGCCACAGCACTAGTTTCTGTCCACACTTCTTTCCATAAGCCAGGACAAAATAACCAAAGGCAAAATTGGGGAGGGGGAGCCCCACATCCTAGTCTTTACAGTCATCATTGAGTTGTGGTTTCAAAAAGAGAAACTAGATGTTCAGAAATCTTACTTCCAATGCCAAACTGACCGCACTCTTAATATCGTTTTCCTGGAAGCCAAAAGGCCTTTTATGCCTCTTATTTTAAAATGGAGGATTTTTGTTCCTTGCTCTTCAGGAATCAAAAATACAACCTGTTTTTTCCTTCCATAGTTGCTACACTGTCCCATGCATATACTTGGAAAAACTGATGACACAAGCTATACTCTCATCTCTAATGGAACCACCAAAGTACTTCTAAAATAAACAGCTTTTAGAATACACATTGGTCTTGGTTAGGATAAATTATAATGTAATTTTGTACTACTTTTTCCTAATTATTTTACAAAACACATATGTTTGCAGGTTCAATATTCTAAAATAGATCTCATGTGGCATTCTATGCTGGTTTCTCTTCTAAATACAGTAGTTTCTAAACTATGCGACACACTTTTCTGCTGTTGATTAATAAAAACCTGAAAGGGAGCGCATGTGGATGTTTTGGGAAACACAGTGGAATGACTTTTTAAAGGCTCCACAGTTTTCCAGAGCCTAAGGCATAGGTCTCCACATATTTTAAGAACAGGCTTTTACTGAAGAAATAAAAAATAAAAAAATGTTAGTGCTTGGCAAGCCTTTTCAGCATACTGTGCATATGACGTGGAATACTGCTTTGCAATTCCAAAGGAAGAGGAAAGCATAAGGTGTTTGTTAGAAGACTCTTCAGAC